AGTATACTGCAGTAAAAACTGCATGTCAAAACAATTATAGATAAAGATATAGGACTATTGGTCAATAGGTGAGCACATCACAAGGCCAACCAATAGTAAGCTTGGAAGGCCAGGAAACGTGATTATTTGTATACAAGTTCAGCTTACAATCTCTGAATTTACTGATCATTTTGACATGTGGTTTTCACTTTGGTCTTCCTCATATTCTTAATTTTAAAATGCACAGATTTGTGAGTTTTTTTAAACATAGTCTGTGTAGTTTAGACTTTACCTAACTGCTTGAAGAAAATTTTGTGTTCCCCACAACTCTGAAAGGATAATTAAAAGATACAGGGGTCTAATACGAAATATTAACAGGGGGCATCTCTTATCTCATACAGCAACCTTCCTAATAATCTGTTTAGATATTTAATACAAAAATAATATAGTTTGCTCTTTTTTTAAGCCCATGAGAGCTTCAAACAACAGTTATCAAAAGGGAAGAGTCAGCATAGGAATGAAATATGCGGCTTTATTGTGTCAGAATGTAATATAAATACAGAGCTACTAAATGATGGTAGTGGTTATATTTGGCCCTATGATGACCTTATGGCACACTCACCCTCTGCAGTCACCCACTAGGACTTTACAACATGTCCAGGGAGGCATGTATCACGGAAGGGCAAGCCTTTCAAATAGAGATGTGCTTGGGATGGCGCAGTAAAGTGTTTTCAGAAGTGAAGATCCTTCACTTCTAAACTGATAACACTGGAATGCTTTCTATATTATATGTCTTTAGGGATAGAATTTTTTAGGTTAATATAAACAATAAAATGAAAGCTTTATCTATTCAGATTATTAGCAGGAAATGAATTAATTTCAATATTTTTTACTACCAAATTATATTTCAATTCATTCTCTGTGTTAAAAAATGTATGGAATTTTGGAAGATTGCTTAATATGATGGTTCTTAATTCAAAATTGTATTGAGGTCAAAGTCTGGGCATGTTACTTGATTATACAGCCAAAAAACTGCATTTTTGGTTGAAGGTGGACGTCATAAACTGACTTCAGGTCTAACACAGGGGACAGGGTGTGCAGCAGTTGCTCAGAACTCAGGACATCTGCTCTGGGGAAAAGGTTTATAATTGGGAGGGGGGGCTTTTTCTTTCTATGACTGTAATTGGGGAACAGCTGACTTACAGGACATTTTTTTTACTTTAGGTCTGCTTGAAAGGATAACTATATTTTTGTATAGATATCTTTAAATTACCAAATTCCAGCACCGCTCCCTTCCAATTTTAATTATTTGGAAGAGTGGAAAGAAAATGTTGAACCCACCTGGTTATTCTTTTGTGCTTCTCATCCAACAGTAGTTAAGGGATATGAATATGTGTGTTCTGGCTAACGGGTAGGCACTTCCGCAATCCAAAGGATCTTCACAGAATACATGGCTCGATGGTGAACACAGTAGATGTAGGAATTGAAGCCCCTTAGTTCCTACATCTACTTCAATTCACAATTGTCCATGTTCCTGCTGGATCCCCAGGCAACCTCAGCAGCTGCTGCAATTTCTCCCAGCCAGTCCCTTGCCTCGTCTGTGCATACCATAGGGATACATAATAAATGGCCTCTTCATAGTATAATCCATAATGCAATCTTCTGCTCTGCACACAGAGTGCAGGGTTTAGAAATATAAAACATAAACCACAACATAAAAAAGCAGCATTTAGGAGTTTATAACATGCAGTCCAGTGTTTAGAATGCATCAGCCAAAAATATGAAATATCTCAGTAAGGGGTATGTAACATATAGCACAGCATACAGAGCGTGGTGGGGGTAAAGGGAAGTATATAATGTACACAGTAGCTAACATGAATGTCTGCATTTTGTTTGAAATGAACCACACACCACACTTGTGTTGTGGTATGAACATGGCACATTATCTATGTGCCTTAGCGGCCTGCCAGTCACCGCTTCTAGTGCCAATGGGTCCCGAAGGGAGATTTCCCCCAAAGTAGTTTTTCTGCCACTAGATGTCCACAGTCTGATGGCCAGAATCATACAAATTCCTTCCTCATTCTGGACCTGCCACAGCCTGTAACTGTACAGTGTAATGAGAAGCAGCTCAGTGATGAGCTCATCTCTCTGTCACTCTGCTCTCTCCTCCTATTTGCATGTTCCTTGTCAGCACATAAACTGACTGGCTCTTTGTGCTGCTTTTTCATCTCCCACTCTAGGCCTGCTAACCAGGGACTGCAAGAGGCTGATACTAGGTGAGATTCAGGTAACTGCACTGCTTGCATTTCAAAAATACATTTAATGGTGTATTAATGGTTACAGAGATGCATTAGTTTGCGTCTTTTAAAACTGTACAGAACTGCTTTGAGGCTGATATCAGATGGCCAGTTCTGGTGCTAGTGATATATCACCAGTGGCAGGATTGCTAAGAGGTTGCCTGTCTGCCCCTATGGAATCGCTCCCACTATAGCCAGATGCAGTAAGATGTCTCTGTCGCTGGCCTAAATGCTTCTGAATCTTGATTGCTAGCAATGGAAGTGACACCTTGCTGCCTCAGTTATAGAGGGAGTGATTCCACAGGGACAATCAGGCAGCCTCTTAGTGATCCTGCTGCTGGCAATTTTGATATATCACTAGCGGTAAGATGACTAGTAACAGTGCTGTCCATCTGACATCAGCCATACATCAGCCATAAAAAAAATCTGGCTGCATTCACTGTTCAGCTGAAAATATTTGGCCAGGCTTCTTCAACAAAATGTAATTGATTATTGACTTTTGTTGAGCTGGCAGAGCCACCCACTTTAATTTCTGTGAATCAGCTGAAATTCTAACAGTGTATGGCCAGCCTTAGGTGCATGGCCAGTTTAAAGCCTATCTCCGGGTAAAATAAAAGCAAAACTCCTTTTGCAGTGGGCTCCCCCCATGCTGCATGGGTTATCTGCTTGTTCATGTCTTAGGGGTATTGTGTGAAGCAGATATACTTACCTGATCCCCACTTCTCTCTGCTCCGCTCAGGTTGTGGACTGTCCCTTGGCATCCTCTTGTTTAATGTAGGTCTATAGGCTCTCTGCATTATATGTGATGTCCACAAGCCTCCAACCGCCAGAGCATAGGGGGGAAATCGGCTGTGGGTGACGGTCACGGAGCCAGCAGGAGGGGGGATCAGGTAAGTAAAAGTCATTTACACTGGTTCCCTGGACCAGCCTTTCTCAAACAGGGTGCCTTCTGGCTAACAAAGGGGTGCATCAAAATTTTTACACAGTGTCATGCCTCTGATGTGAAGGAGGCATCTACTGTGAGAGAGGGACTCTTTATGTAAAAGGGGACTCTGGTGTGAAGAGGGGGGACTCTGGTGTGAAGAGGGCTCTTTATGTAAAGGGGGACTCTGGGGTGAAGAGGGGTTTGTGATGTGAATGAGGGAGACTCTGTGGTGAAGAGGGGGTTGTGATATGAAAGAGGGGGCTCTGGTGTGAAGAGGGACTCTTTATGTAAAGGGGGACTCTGGTGTGAAGAGGGGCTTGTGACGTGAAAGAGGGGGACTCTGGTGTGTGAAGGGGTGTTTATGCAAAGGGGGACCCTGATGTGAAGGAGGGGGACTCTGATATGAAGAGGGGCTTGTGATTTGAAAGAGGGGCTTCTAGTGTGAGAGAGGGACTCTTTATGTAAAGGGGGAATCTGATGTGAAGAGGGGCATGTGATGCGAAAGAGGGGCTCCCACTGTAAGAGAGGGATTCTTTATATAAAGGGGGACTCTGGGGTGAAGAGGGGCTTGTGATGTGAAAGAGGGAGACTGTTGTAAAGAGGGGCTTGCAGTGTGAAAGAGGGGTTCCTAGTGTGAGAGAGGGACTCTTTATGTAAAGGGCGACTCTGATGTTAAGGGGGGTTCTAGTGTGAAGGGAAGAGTCTAAAGTAAAGTGGGAACCCCACTTTTTTGTTTTTGCATGGGGTCCTCCCTCAAAATCCATCCCATTTTAGACTGGGGTGCCTGGAGATTTTGCATACTTTTAAGGCATGTTCACACATCTGCATCACGTTAATGGCACGATTCCGCATGCATTACTTCTTACTCCACTGTAACACACAGTATTGCGGGTAGGAAGTGCATTGGGGCCCATTAAAATGAATGGCAATGCACCTGCTGCACTGGAAGGCACAGTAAGTGCGTTGCACGATAGCGTCCATTACTTGCACAGAGCCATTAATGTGGCACAAAAGTGTGAATGAGACCTAAAAGTATGAAAAATGTCAGGGCACCCCAGTCTAAAATGGGATGGATTTTAAGGTTGTACCCCACGCAAAAACTGTGATTATGGTGATGCAGAGGTGTGAACGGGCCCTTAAAGGATGCCATGATTGAAAAAAAGTTGAGTGATGGTGGTCTAGACAAAGGCAGGCCGTTAACCCTTACAGTGTAAGGGTTGCCCCAGGGCAGTTCTTTTATTGCTTTGTCAGCCACATGAGTGCCTCATCTGTGCACTGAGCTGTCCTGTATATGTGACTTGTAATGAGCTATGAACACACAATGGGAGGGCAGTGCTTCTGAGGGGACTGGGAGAGAACTAGGTGGTACAGGATGTAGGCACAGTAGCCTGTATCCTTGCCTTGTGCCCCGCTGGCTGACCCCGGCTCCCTTCTCCACTCTGACTGGAATGTGAGGGAGGGAGGAGGCCGCGCTCCACCCACATGGGCTTCTCCCCACACCAGCACACAACACGGCAATGAAAAGGGCCTCTCACATGAGCCTGCATACTACTGCTACTCGGGGGATAAAGGAAGGAACGCCGGGGATGATGATAATGGCATCAGAGAAGGTGAATCATCCTCCTGGAAGCATGCACTGTACATCTCTGCTCAGCACATCAGCAGCGCTACACCCCAGGCAGCGCCACATATAAAGACTCAATGGAGACAGCTGCTGCGAGCAACGGAGCGCCGTTCCCTGCCTCTGCTCTGCAAGTAAGCATTTGTTTTTGTGTCTTGGACTGGGAGCCGGCTGATAAGATCGCATAGCTGAGCCTTGTGCACTATGGGGGTCTGCTGATGGGATCATACACGGGCCAAATGCGTAGCTGCTGCCATCGGAGCTAATAAGTGACACATTGAGATCCGTGGAGACATGGATGAGGAGGCTGCGGGGAAGCTGGAGGCGAACGATGATGACAGCTGCCTCCATGTGGGGCTAGACAAGGGGGCTGCCGGCATGGTGGAGCAGATGAACCTTTCCTCCCCCTCTGAGGAAGAATCGGGGGGCAATACCCCTGAGCTGGTCCTGAAGCAGCAGGGGGTCAAGAGGCATAACCACAAGCACAACCTGAAGCACAGGTATGAGCTGCTGGAGACCCTGGGCAAAGGAACCTATGGCAAAGTCAAGAGGGCCATCGAGAGGTTCTCCGGCAGAGTGGTAAGTTCTATGACCTGATCACCATTGTATTGTATGGGACTGCCCATAGACCTAAAGATGGTGACACTCCTATACATATGATCATTTAGTCCTAGCTTCAATGCCACTAAACTGATTGAATTGAAGAACAATCATACACCAAACAACCTCCATTCCATTAGAAAGCTCTCGAGCAATTTCATTTTCATCCAAATTTCACGGATCATTCGTTCGTGCATGCGTGTCGTAGAACTGATCGTGATCCCAAACGTTTGCTTTATTAGATCGTTTGCATATGTGACTGATTTTCAGGCCAACGCAAATGCAAAAGAATATCATGGGGGGAATTGATCAAAACTGGAGCAGTTGCCCGTAGTAACCAATCAGCTTCTCTAATTCAGGCAAGCTTTCAAAATTAAAGATATAAGCCGATTGGTTGCCATTGGTGAATCTCCCTCCCACGTGTTGCATTGTTAAACATTTTAATTGATGATGGGTGGCTTGTTGCAATCGTGAGCTCTCAAGCGATTTTGATCAGCCGTAATGGAATTTCATTGATCGTTTCTGTTCAGTCAAACAGACGTCCTATGCGTGTAGGAGAACTGATCATAATATTGATCAATTAAGTGGATTTTTTTAATAGACCATTCGCATTTATAACAGATCGACGGTAATTCCAATCTTTTCAGTTGATTGCAAATTACGGAACAATACCGTGTGTGCTTCATCATTGATATTTGAATTGATGGTAGATGGCTTGTATGCAATCACTTGTATTTAAATCAATCACAGATCGCTATGGGTTTGGCCACCCATAGACAAGGCTACAGTTAGAACAGGACATGCCAATGGGCAGTCTGTGATATCCACAGACACATCTTGTGGGAAGAACTGATTTGGTTGGAATAGTTTTCCTAGCTTATTGATCTTGATCTAGCCAAAGACATGACTGTCTCATCATTGAATAGGAATGTTTATTTCATAGTCATATGGTGGTCAGATCTTCCAATTGCAGTCTTATGTGCATGGCAGGCAATACATACCCATTGGTTGTATGGCAATGGATATCTCTTGGTTGTATGGCAATGGATACCCATTGGTTGTATGGAGGAAATAACTGAACTTACTGGACCCATGTTGGTCTATGGGGAGTCACACGTAAGCAGACTTGTGTCCCTTTATATCAGATTGCCCCCGATCCATCACAATCATTTCCACCAAAATGGAACTGTGTTTTGTTTTCTTGATGTTGATAGAGTCAGGGGTAAACGGGCGCATGTCTGTTCAAATCTGGCTGCCCAAAGACTAACATTGGTCTTCCGGTCAGATCCACCTGATCTAACGTCGGGCTTCCGGTCAGATCCACCTGATCTAACGTCGGGCTTCCGGTCAGATCCACCTGATCTAACGTCGGGCTTCCGGTCAGATCCACTTGATCTAACATCGGGCTTCTGGTCAGATCCTTTTGAAGGGAGAACCTGATCGGATCATACGTCTGAAAGGGGCCTTACAATTGAGCTTTAGCTGTTGATGATGTTTTTAACTATTCATATGTAAAGTAAACTAAGCCACTGACATCTTCTAAAGCCATATTGGTACCTGATAAGACTGGTGGTGATGATGATGATGATTTTGACAGTCTGGTGAAGGGTTATGAGGACCCAATGGGCTATACATAGGCAGTTTGTCCTTGTAAAGAATCCCAGATCCAATGTCTTCATTTGATAAGGGAAAGAGAAATGTGCAAAGTGCAGCCACCCATAGAAACTAATGGCTAAGCATCTTTTGTTACTCTGACTGTTCTAAACTGATGAAAGGTGAACTCCTGATTAATTGCTACGCTGCATTTTGCACACAATCTTTGTGTGATTTCATCTTCCCTGATCATGCTTTCACTCTGATCTGTTTATTGAAAATGTCACATTTCTCTGTGTGAGGCCTTGAAACGGTTTATGTGACCTTTGGATCCCTACAGCTCTTCAAACAGAGCCCTGCACGACACTCTAGCTTGTATCTCCCGGGATCCAGAGTGGATGCAAAGCAGGGACAAGCCAGTCGGTGTCAGGTGAAAGCATCTTGTCCAAAGCAAGTGATTTGCAATCAGCTTCTCACATGCCTCAAGCGATGACTGGAGCCGAGGGGCATGTTGAGTGCATTTTGAGATAATCTTTATATTTGGCTGCATCACAAGAAAACAACATGTCATGAAAAGTTTTGACCTATTAAATCATTTTGATGTAACAAAAATTCTATTCTTAGCAGTCATACCCGTGTTCTTGGTTTACAGCGATACTTTATATCAAGTAGCACATGCATTTATAAGCGTCTGGGATTTTTTTTTAAGCAAGAGAGCTAAACGTAACCTGTCCAGTTTTCACTGGTGGTGTCACCATTTCATGCACCATTGGCTATAATTAGGTAGTGTGGGGATGACCAACAACAAAAATGCAATCAGATTTTGCAACACATGGGAAAATGTGTGAACTTTACATAATTACCTCTTTCACAAAAATGGTAATGGTCTTGTTTTGTTTTTTGTTTTCTCTGTCATGTGTCAGACTGATGCAAAGATTTCCAAGGAAACGTTGAGCAGCTTTGAGCCACCAAAGCCACTATTGGTAGGCTCTAGTGTTACCATAGCAATGACATTGCTGCTACAATTCTTGTATTATAATGTGTTGTTATACACTGTGATTGGTACATTAACCAGAGATGGATATTGCTCCTAAAAATATTTTTAGGAGACGTTTATCAGCTAACTGCTGGATATTTAAAGGACAACTATGGGGTGAGTGATTTTCACTCATCCTCATAGTAAGAGCCGACGCGCGACAATGAAACTGTCACACGTCGGCTCTATTGATCGGGAAGTGAGTGAACACATAACATCGCTCACTCACTTCCCGATCATCTCCCTGCAGAGAGTGGTGACTATCAGTCACCGCTCCCCACAGGGATTCCCCCCTCCCCGCTCCGATCCTCCAGCGTTGAGTAGAGGAACGGGAGGGGGCGGGCACAGCTTGCTCTGCCTCTAAATAGGCAGAGCAAACTGTCACTCACGCAGCTGGGTGGATCTAGACAGTATTGTTGGGATCCGTCCTGGCTGCGGCGCTCTCAGTATATAGTGGGCAATAGCCCGCTGTATACTGAGCTTTGCGTCACAGAAGGAGGTTAGTATATGTCCTCCCATGACCCTAAAGAGGACTGTGGGGAAAAAAGGTTACCCCATAGTTGTATTTTAAGTTAACGGTTTATGGATCTACTTGGCCTACAACTATTGAGCCTAGGCAGTCAAGAGAAGCTTACAGGAACAGTAATATTGGAAAGAATTCCAGGCAGAGTAAAAATGAACCCTTGCAATGGGGCTACACCTCGCTGCTTGTTTTTCTCTAGAGGACCAAATAAAGAAGATATATTCTTAGCTCCTTGAGGGCAGGGACTGTGATGTGAATGTACAATGCATAATAGCGCTGCATAAATTGTTGGCGCTATATAAATACCTGTGATAAATAATAGCATATACTCACCGAAGCCTTGATCCTGCAGCAGAGAACGCTCTCCACTCTTCCTCTCTGCTCCGGTGATGGAATGTCCCTCGGCGACCTTGCATCTAATACAGTGTATTAGATGTGATGACTCACCAGTCCTTAGCCGGTGAGGGGGAGAGAGTTCTTCTTCTTTAACTGTCTCTGACAACAACAACAACAGATTGATAGAATGGAAAACCGTCTATTTAGCACACTTCAATAAATAAGGCTGAATATGGCAATGTTCACAGCAATTCTTGCATTTAGTTCACTAAAGTGCAGTTTGGTTGGTTGCCATGGATTTCTGCACTTTTTACAGTCTCACGTTGGTTTACTGGATAAGGCTATAGTGTTATTTATACAGTCCCATGTACATTTTCTATCAAGGCAGGAAGACATTTAGATACCTTCTCTTTTAGGAAGGCTCTATTGTGCTTTGCATTGGTTCAATGGAGGGATTTTTGGTTCCTTTTTGGCTCGCCTAACCAAAACTGGTCAGATAATATATTGATGTTACTCACCAAGCCCTTACTCCATGAAAGCCATTGTTGCCATGCACTGCACTGGTGATGGCCAACAAGGCTGAGCAGCTTTGGAATAAATGAAATTAAATATTCATGCTGACACTGTCGTTCCTTCTGGAGAGTGGCTACTTTTTGTTCCCCATGGTCCCCTGATGTGTGTTGTAAAGTAGCCACCGCTCCAAGCTCACCCCCTGATGGACTATAATCTCATGTTTAGTTTACTAATTTGTAATGAGATTGTAGTCCATCACAGGCGTGAGCTTGGAGTGGTGACTACTTTACAACACACACAGGGACCATGGGGAACAAAAGTAGCCACCCTCCAGAAGGAAGGACAGTGTCAGCAAGAATTCAGAGATGATTTGAGGCTCTATAGCTGAGTGATACACCAATAAAGTACACTTATGTTAATAGTTCAAGTACTTAGGCTGCACCCTGGCTGCCTTTTTAACTCTGCTGGTGCTGGCATGCAACTGGCGTTTCAGAAGCCCTTGCAGTTGTGTTGATCTGGTGCCCAGCATGCAGGTTGTAGGGAACTTTTTAGCTGCTGCTTGTCTTGGGCGGATTGGGAAGACGGACAATGCTGATGGGCAAAAATTACCGAACACAGCTAAACCCTACTTCCACCAAGATTAGTGAGCAGAGGATGTATGGTACGCTATGCTGGCCATAGACATGAGACTTGTTGCCAAATCTACTGGAAAGCAGCTAGATTGGGTCTGTAATTTAATGCCTATAGCTACTCTTAGCTCCTTTTATACACTGATATGAATAGCTTTATGTTCTTCATAGAACCACACAATTTGTTGGTAATTTATACTTGCAATTTAATAAATAAAATGAATGCATCCATCAGCTTGCTTTTAACATACCACCGATATCATTACATTTTAATAACTAGGCTACTTAGAAATATTTTTCAGTCCAAGATTTTAATGAAAATATGTGGTTTCAGCTATTTTGTAGGTAA